AAAAAATGGAGTGGAAGAGTATCCTAGATGTATGGAAGAGGTAAGAGTGAGTGAATGAGACACAAGAACAGATATGCCCTTTGTTGGGACATCTTGGAAAACCAGGTTCCAGTTGCTGGGTAGGTGCTGGCTTGAGCCTGGAGAGTTGGTACCAGCAGTGAAGTTCTAAGAGCTTGGCAAGATGGCACACTAAATTGAGGGAAAATGTATTCTAAGAGTACAGGAGCCATCATGTCTGCTGTTTCGTTGGAGGTGGGAAATAACCCCATCCTGTGAACGTGTCAACAAGTTAGAAGATAACAGATTTTTTTATGATTGGGCATTGTGGGTGAAGACAACCTGTGAATATTCACCTGGTTGGCATCCTTGGTTGGTGGTTGGCATCCTGGGAGCTGGTTCAGGGGCTGGAATATCTAGAGGACCCCCTGTGGACTGGCCTTGGCACAAGTCTGGCAAGAGGAGTGAAACTGCAAAATGTGCTCAGAAAAGGGTGTGGTCAAAATGGCTCTGGAGACTGTGTTTTCAACAGACCATATTTTTTGATACAGTAGCAGAACTTTTCTCAGGAACCTACAGGTATCTGTAAGACAGCTGGAACAGATCTACATCTTGATGTCATAGCAAAAGGCTATGGCTTTGTATTAAAAGGCATGGACATTTTTAAAAGCCAACCAGAGGAAACTTAAATCTCTGAACCTCCAAAGTTACATTTGAAACCTGTTAATCCCGGACTATGAAGCTTGTGAATAAGGCACACCTGTGAGTACTTTTAACAGGAAACTTAATAATGAGATATCAAGATGCTTGTAGCCTTGGGGGTAGGTGCTACTAAACATCATCAGATCTGAGAAGGATGAATTTAAGCAGAAGTGATACAGTTTTCCAGTTACCTAGGTAGTCCTAGGTTTCTCTTAAATGGGAAGAAGGGAGTCCCATTCACCCCTGGGACAGAAATTGACTCGGGAACTGTGGGACGGAGGAAGAAGTTAAAACAGAGTAGGTAGTTCCCAAGTCCAATAGAAAGTCAATGGACTTACCTGCTACCTGCAGTGCCACCCCAGGCTCGGAAAAGGAATGGGGATCACCAAATCTAGGCACCACCAGTCCTCCGCCAGGTTTATGAGTTCATCTGTTCCATATGTATTCCGTTTGCTTACCCCCCCCCCCAAAAAAAAAGGGAAAAAAGTGACCACATGGTCCACCTGGTCAGGCATCAAAGAGCCATCATGTGGTCAGACGCCATCTTTACTAAGGGCAGTGGGAAGTCATTTCCTGGCTCAAGCATGGGTTGGGGCAGGAGTGCCCATATGGGTCCCCTAGAGACCTATCCTCTCTCTCCCTCCCAGGCTCTCAGGCATCAGCAAGCCAATGTACATTTCCCTATGGGCTGGAAAGCATACCCTTAATGATCTTGCTTCTTTTTTTCAGGAATAGCCTAGGACCACCTGCATGTCAGGTGTTTACACTGGGATTCATAACAATGACAAAACTACAAAAAAAGTCTCTCTTTATCTAAAGTCTATTCAGGCTAACAAATATCAATTTATGACTACCCTTCTCACTTTTTCTTACATATAGGTAAGCTCTGAAGGGGCTGAGGAGGATCCTGAGTCCGCCATACAGGAACTGTTGAAAATTCAAGCCCATGCCTTGGCAGCTGCGCTGAGACTACCACTCCCCACTCCCACATGGGCGACAAGGGAAGTTAACCATGAGACTCCATCATGCCAGAGCTCAGCTCAGGTCTACTCTGCCAGGAGCCTGCATTAATGCAGCCTGGGACCACTGATCACGTTATTGCCCTGACCCTCAGCTGCCCACAAGGACATGCCCTGTCTGCCAACAACCTGGACAATGGAAATTGGAATGTGCAGGCTCATTCTCTATGCCACACCACCATTGAGGCCCAACCTCATCAACAGTGGCATCTGATTCTCCCAGCCTTTGAACTCCAATTGCCCTTATTTTTACCAGCACAGTGTAGATTTCTCTGTTGAGAACATGTTTCTCTATGTTGCTAAAGAACAGCATACCTCTGGTTTGTAAGCGCAGCAAGCTACTTTGATCTCTTCCAGGTTCAAGGTATTTACTTTTCCACATCCAAAATCTTATAATTTGCAAATGAGTTTGCAAATCCATTATATTTTGTGCAGTTTAATATTCCTGAGACTGTGAAAGGTTCTGCTTGGCTGCAGTTCATACATGTCCTTAATGTGAAGCTGAAATACAAAGCAAAGTCTTAGGCAGTGTGGTTTCTAAGGAAGGACAGAATCTGATGCCCATCATTAATAAGTAATCCATGTCCTCCACTTAAAGTTTCTTTGCCATGCCTTTTGCCTTATTATGGGTCTTCTCCCTTTCCTCTTGAAACATGTGCTCTGCTGTGCAAGCTTTAGTTTAATCACATGAATCTGTGTCAGGTGGCATCCAGGCATCACAGCTGTTATGAGTCCCTAAGTGTGGCTGCCATGTCGCGTTTAGAGGACAGCTTCTCACAGCATTCCTCCTGCTGCCAGCCTTCTGGCTCGTCCATTACTTCAGTTCCCTCCACTGTAATGAACAGATCATATATATATCCTGCATATATATATAGTATCCTGCAGATACTACCGTCACTAGATCTCACTCAGTTCTCAAGTTCTCAATGACTGTCTTGAGGAGAGTATTTAAATGAATAGTTATGGTATGTGGTATATTACCTACTAAGGAAAATTTCAATACACTTGCAAAAATTACATTGAAATGTTTTTTTTATAAAATATTAGCAAAAGAAGTGACTATGTGTCATATGTGTTATATGATTAAAAACAAAAATATTCACTTGTTTTATAGTTCATAATATCAATTTATAAGTATGTATATCTGTTTTAAGTCAGCCCAATTTCTGGACATTTTCTATCCCTAGGCAGTTACAAAGCAGAAATACAGCAGAGGGAACAGGACTAGGAAAACGGGGAAAACAGAAAGCTAAGCAGAGTCTAATATTCTCTGACATATTTACCATAGAAATAATTTAAAAATTGTGCTATTTTCTGCTAATTTACTTAAAGCTTACATTTTATTTGAATGCTGTATTTTCTCTGCATTCATTCCTTAGGACTTTTAGTGAAGTTTACCAATAAGCCAAATTTCATGTTCCCTATGTTTATGCGGAAATTAAAACAATTATTAATTTATCTTTGCTTTCAACAGTTAAGTCATTTCTTCCTAACCATCCACATGTCCTATAGTAATAAATAGGACAATGTTTGATCAACACTTTAAATTTGTATTTTGGTGGTGCACATTTATTTGCAAACACATATATGCCATTCTTAATTTTCTTTGTGACTATTTACAGTTGTTCACCTGAGTTTTTCTTTGTAATTTCCACAAAGCCTGCATACTCAATAGAAACCTTGTGTCAAACTATAAATTTCTATCCTTGCTGCTGAGCAATGGCAGCAATCTGGAACTCAAAGTAACAGTATATTTACAGTGTATTGTACAGAGTGAACCATATTGGACGTTCCACAGTGTATTGCCAAATGGCTTTATATTAAGTGATTCTGTCCCACTTTACACCACTGTATATTTCTGGGCACATTTGGTAGACTAGGTGTGTCAAATGAACTTAAATTATAACATTTCTGATCACCATGACTTTACTTGACCCAATATAATAAATAATATCTGTGAATAAGGGTAGAATAATATGTTTGCACACACATTTTTGTATATATTCAAAACTATGTTTAATGCCTTCTTATTAATATTTCCACATTTCTTGATAGAAAGAAGTGGGGTGCATTTTTATGTGTTTATTCATATGTATCTGACTGTACTTGCACAATTATTCATTTTTCTTCCATTGGTCATTGTGAGGAATTCTCCAGGGTTTGCTATTTCATGAGTTCCTCCTTTCCAACTAACCCTTTCCCAAGCACACTAGGATTTTCACTGATTATCATCCTTGTAGTTTTTCCTTTAGACTCACACTTGGCCTATTTCCCATCTCTCCAGCAGGGGACAATAATATACTTCCTAGAGAAGTTCACCAGCCTTAGTATTGACAACTCTGGTAACACTTTGAATTAAAGAGTTTCCCAGGCTCTTGATTCATGCAGTATCCACAAATGTCTCCAGGCCTTTGACTCCTACATTGAGATTGGTCCAAGCACATTTCGTTGATACACTCTCTGAAGCTAGGGACCCAGAAAAGCCTGTCCCAGAATCCCATTCCTGTTTATAGCAACCCTGGCTCAGGAGGATCCTCCTAAAAGCCGCATGAGACAGAGTGGGGAATTCATGACAGCTGCTAGAAAATCAATACATGCTTTCTTCCATTTCATAAAGGAAAGTTTAATCAGCATGTAGCTTCTGTGCAAATAATGTCCAGTGTCAAATGGTCAGCTCTAAAGACATAAACATAAACCGGAAAGTTTAATTTTATGAATATATATGTATCTACAAATAATACATATATTCATGCAATAAAATTGAAAAAAAAAGCCCAAGACTTTTAAGGAGATTAGGGAGGAATATTTGGGTGGGTTTTCTGTGAGAAATAGGTAGAAATATTGTAATCAAAATACAATCTAACAAATAAATAGTGGAAAAAAAGAGAGAGAAGAAGCTGCATGACCTCAATAATATTTTCACCTACCTATGAAAGGATCTGTAAGCATTTCTGTGCTTTCTAGGACTGTACCGTATCTGACAAGCCCCGCCATGGCAGAAAACATAACAAGGTAATTCTACTTGCCAGAAATAGAAATAAGGTGTAACCCATAGTCTAGTGGTGTTCTTTGCTGTCCAAAGAGGAACACATTCCCACAGATGAACCTGTACTGCCTCTCTGATCTGAGACAAAGGAAGCCCTGTATTGAGTCACTTAGCTCGTTCTATGTCTGTGTCCTGCCATTGCTGATTTGCATTTGCCCAGAGCACAGCCCACTGCTGTGCTTCTTTTTTTTTGTTCGGTTCCCCCCTTTTGTTGGGTTCATTTTCGAGAGGTCACAGCACAGACATGAGGGCCCCCACTCAGCTTCTGGGGTTGCTGCTGCTCTGGCTTACAGGTAAGGATGTCAGCATTGGAAATTTATTGAGCTGAGTGTGGTCAGTGCTGCATGGACTCCAAGAACGTCTTGTTTTAACAGTATTAATTATGTGGAAATTTGTTTTTAAATTTCTAATCTCAGGTGCCAGATGTGAAATCCAGATGACCCAGTCTCCAGCCTCCCTGTCTGTGTCTCTGGGAGAAAGTGTCACCATCACGTGCGTGGCAAGTCAGAGCATTAGTAGTTGGTTAGCATGGTATCAGCAGAAACCTGGGAATCCTCCTAAGCTCCTGATCTATTATGCAACGAGTTTGGTAGATGGAGTCTCATCAAGGTTCAGTGGCACTGGATCTGGTACACAGTTTTCTCTCAAGATCAGCAGCCTGAAGCCTGAAGATGTGGCAAATTATTTCTGTCAACAGTATAACAATTACCCTCCCACAGTGATTCAAGTCATGACAAAAACCAACCAGGGAAGCAGAAGTGAGAGCCTAGGCTGCCACAAATGCTCTTTCTGGTTTCTTCAGCTGCTAAGAGTGTTTCTCTTTTCTCTTGCCAAGATTTAATGGTCAATATTATAATTTTTTGTATAGAGACCAGATAAACTTTTCTTTCCTAGAACTCTGTCTTTTTCCCCAATCTAGCATTAAAATCATGAAAATGGTTTTCCTAACTCAAATGAAATATTAACTTTCCTGAGTTGCAGGTTTGGCAACAACAGATTTATACAGCAGAGATGTAAACAAACCCCCCCCCATACACACTGCAGGTGCACCAATGTATAGCAAGAAGGAGTTATTAAAAATCATTATCCTATTGAAATTAGAAAATTAGTATCTTAGTATAACATTAAAATCCTGTGGGTACATACTCCAAACAAAGAAATAAGGTCATTATAACCCATGGCTTCATAGAATCCTCTACTGTATTCAGAATACTAGTTAAGTGCACTGGTTTGTCATCCAGAGGACCCCAGGTTGTTTTCCAGGACTCACATGACTGCTATCAACTGTCTGTAATTCCATTCCCAGTAGAGCAGAGCCTATTTTCTGGTATCTGAGGTCATTGCACTTATATGGTACATAAATACATATGCAGGCAAAACATGAATACACATAAGATAAATGAAGCAATTATTAAATATTTAAAAGTCCTAAGCCACTAGTATTCTGACAAATTGATACTGAGAACAGATTATTCTTAGAATCTAGAGTCCATATTTTTTCCTGATCATAGGGTCCTAAGATAACTTGTCAACTGTCATATCATATGCATGGAGGAGAGGAAGCTTTCCACAAAATAAGTGTTTATTCATTTCACTCCTTACTAGGAGGGCAAGTGTTTTAGTTACTTTTATATTTCTGTGACAAAACACTATAACCAAGGTAATTTATGAAAGAAAGAATTTATTTAATTTAGGGTCTTACCATTCTAAAAGGTTGGTCCATGACCAACACATTTGGAAGTAGGCAGTCTGCCAGCTACAGGCATACAGAAATGGCCCTGGAGCAGTAGCTAAGAGCTTATATCTACTTTAAAGTAGGAGGCATAGAGAGGAAGAGAGCTAAATGGGAAAGGAACAATAACATCATCAAGCTGCATGATCAACAGTAACCAAATATGCAATTAGGTCATTCCAATTTATGACTTCATGGCAACCTCTAGCATGGCAAAATTCACACAGAGGGGTAGAATTACATAGGGGTAGTCAAACAATTCAGCCTATTCCTGACTTTGTGCAGCAAAGAGTGTCATTAAAATAACACTTTACAGAAGTCATTGTGTTTATTAACTTATACATATGTATGATCTACCATTCATGTGATTGCAATCAGATACATCATGGGAAAAGGATATGTGAATTCAACAAATCATATCAATCAAAGCAGAAAATAATACACATTGGATCTCCTCATTAACCAGCACCTCCTCCTTGAGGATGATAAACAGAAGCTCCTATATTTATCTATGAGGAAAATTTCATGCAGGGACTTCTGGTCTATTGCATTGTGTCTGTCATGCAGTTCACTTTAATTCTGAATAAAATAATTAATGATTGCTACAACATAAATCATAGAGAGGCATTCTACTATTAGAAGAAAATAGAACTATATCCTCATTTTTCAACAATCAATCCATTCAATAACTTCCCAAAAGACACCTGTATAGTTAATATAATTGATCAATTTGAATCTGCTCTGCGATGCTATGAAGTTTCTCTCTTTACTTATCTAAAATTTGTGAATATATCTCAAACAATGTACATGCACAATATAAATATGCCATCAAGCATCAACATTCCTATAATTTCATGATAGTCACCACAGTTGAAATTTTATTGCCAATACTTAGGAACAATTACTAGGGTACCAGAGTTAGTCTACTGACAGCATAGTTGAAGGC